CATGTCAGCTGAACCAACCTCACTGATCAAAACCATTTGGGAAGCTGGCTCATGTGTTTTGATTTGTTTTGTTTTGTTGTTGTTTTTCCAGAGTGAAATCCTCCACACTGAAATAGTTTCTTTGCTGTGTGCAGAAGTCCATAGCCTTAGGCTGCATCCAATGCCACAAAAAACATGGAAGGATTATCACAGAGGGTGTTGCATTAAACGAGCTTGTAGTTTAAGTTTCACTTTGTCTCTGTGTTCAGGTCAGTTTGGTTTATATTCAACACTTGCTTCAAAATACCATTCTGAAAAACAAGCTCTTCTCAGTGGTGGCCAGTGATAGGACAAGGGGTAATGGGTGCAAGTTGAAACACAGGCAGCTCCATCTCCATGTGAGAAGGAACTTCTTCCCTGTGAGGGTGCCAGAGCCCTGGCACAGGCTGCCCAGGGAGGCTGTGGAGTCTCCTTCTCTGGAGATCTTCCAAACCCGCCTGGGTGCCGCCCTGTGCCCCGTGCTCTGGGTGTCCCTGCTGGAGCAGGGGTTGGACTAGGTGATCTCTAGAGGTCCCTGCCAACCTCAGCCATCCTGTGATGCTGTGATTCTGTGATATCCTTAAGTGCAGGGCTCCANCACAGGCTGCCCAGGGAGGCTGTGGAGTCTCCTTCTCTGGAGATCTTCCAAACCTGCCTGGATGCCGCCCTGTGCCCCGTGCTCTGGGTGTCCCTGCTGGAGCAGGGGGTTGGGGGGGTTGGCCTAGAGGATCTCTAGAGGTCCCTTCCAACCTCAACCATCCTGTGATTCTGTGAAAACCTTTAGTTCTTTTTACTTCATGGAGTTTATTAAGGAAAAAAAAAAAAAAAAAGACCTTTTCAAATATTTTGCAGCCAGCTTATCCAGTCTGCTATTCCTCCCACTGGGCTGCTCCATGCGGCACTAAATACATTCCTTAGTCACTCTAGCCACCTTTCTGCCAACCTTGATAACTTTTATGGCACTTCACTGGCCTCATAGCTGCATTGATATCAATGGTAGTGTCCACAGAGATAGGCATTACCTGTATTGTGATTATTTTTTAACTCATTTTAGTTGTTGTGAGTTTCAAATATGTAGGTACAGTGCTGCCTGGTCCTGTGGAAATCAGTTAGAAAAGTCTGTTAAGATATAACTGCAAGGAGAAACAGCTGGGAAGATCTGCCCACAGTCCTTTTGCTCGGGTACCTTGGTTTTGACACTGGTCAACAAGACCTGATGAAAATGATTGCTTGCAAGTGACTGACATTCGATTTTACTTTAACACGAGGTGATTTAAGAAGACAGATGATAGGACAAAATCTGAGTGAGAATTTTAAAATGGACCCATAAACATCTTTTTTTTTTTTTTTTTTTTTTTTTTTTCTGCTAAGGTAAAATAAAGAGAAGCTGTTCTAGGAGTTATGCAGAAAAGCAAGTCATAAGAATATAAGAATGTGTGTGAAGGAAATGGATGGCATGGCCCTAATATCCCTTGAATTTGTCTGTGGGCTTTCCTCTCAGCATTGCTTTATAGACGACAACAACAACAACAACAACAACAAACTCTTAGCTAAACTAGTTGAATAACCTCAGACAAATACCAGCAACTCATTTAGATTGCTGTGGTTCTTTCTGAAGTCTATTTGAATACCAGGAGGAAACTAATTTGGGAGTATTTCTAACATAATTGCTTCTTTTTTACTTTTGATTCACATTCTTCTTCCCCAACTACTTAGCTCCAAAAAGTTGCATTTCCTGGGCAGGTCTAACCAGACAGCCCTCGTGCTGGTGCTTCTACGATAGTAGGACTGATTTTCAGCTTTGGCTGGTGCCTGGCTGGAATTTATAATTAGCTGAACTTAAAATACTTCAGCTGCCACTGTCAGAGACCCACAGATAAAGGGCACGAGAATGTATTTCCTTAAAGGAACTTTGTGTTCATTCTCACATTCTCTATGTGAGAATCAATTGAGCTCAATCTCTCATTCTCTCAAAGTTTTGCTTTTTACGCCAATGGGAGGTGGATTTGTTACAGCAACCGAAACACGGATTTGCCTCTGGGGCAGCTCACAAGTGAAGCTGCTGTAGTGATGACCACTGCAGCCCTGCATGTTCCTCAGCGTTGCTTCACTTCCCCTTTGTAGTGAGGAGACCACAGGAAATCCGCAGGAAATTCTACCTTCCTAGAAAAATATCCTGCTTCCTCCTCAGAACAGAGGGATCTTGCAGCTAGCCATGACTGTAGATATTTTGGAGCGAGGCAAATTGGAGGAGAACAGTCTTTCATAGGAAGTGCCTCCAGCTTCATTGTTTGAGGCACTGTGAACTACAGTGGACAAAAACCAGCTGGCCAGATCAAGGCCTGGGCACACTTTGAGCAGGAGCTTGGAGCTGATGACCTCCAGAAGCTCCTTCTAAGCAACTCTGTGAATACTGCTGTGAAATCAGATGATCTAACAGGGTTCTTCTTGCAAATCTGTGCTTCTCTACTATGTAACAGCAAGCTTTGCACTTGGTCTTGAGCTTTTTTCCTAATAATCCTTTTTTTGTGGTTTTAATTAAATGTGTATATAATTAAAGTGTTGCTTTTTTATTAAAAGTTATGAATTAATTATGCTGTTCTGTGGGAATACTCAGATATTTAAGCATTCTTCCAACAAGCAGAATCATCATCACTTTAATAGTTCTAATATACTCCTGTAACTAAACATCTTGAACTAAAGAGTTTAAATGAACTTAATAACACGGGGGAAATATGCTTAAGGTTGTAGGCCTATGACTCTGCTGATTAACATGACGGGTTATTTTGAAACTCATTTGTTGTTTAAACCCTTCAAATATCACTGAGGTTATTAGTATTATTTAGGCTTTGATACCAGCTAAACAGAAGGGAAAAGGGTTTTAGTGTTCCCTTAAGGAGGTAATTCTTCGCTAGAGTTTTTGAAGACAAAACGTTAGTGAAAAGAAGAAACAGGTCTGAGGAAGATCCCCGATGTACACAAAATCAGGTTTAGGTTCTTCTTTGTCTCCTGGATATAGTGTGAAATTCGGGCCAGGCTCTGGGTCGGACGGATGTGCTGTATTTCTGTGCTGCATTTCTGTGCAAAACAGAGATAGGTGAAATCGTGGAACGATGGCTGAGTGCCGTCAGGCAACACTGACTTCAGAAAAAGCCATCCAGTTTTCTGATCATATCCAAGTTTTGGGGCGTTCACAAAGATTGGCTTGCAGAAGCTAATCCTCCCCAAATCTCCCTGCGGTCACTGGAGCCAGAAACGCCGCATGTATCAGGTCTGCCATGGGGAGCAGAAGGTGGTTCAGCTCAGGGGCCACTAGCAGCTACAGAAAGTCATTTTTTAGCCTGTGTGAGCAACGCCTTTACAAGATGGGTTGATCTGGTGATCCTTGCAATTCAAATCCTTCATGTGAGCTGCAGTGTGGTGGCAGCTTACCTTAAATTACATCATTATGTTTATGTAGAAAAGCGTGTCCCTCAGTATGAATACTCATAATGTTATAATTTGCTCGAGCCTTCGATTAAAACATCTAGGTAAGCCTTGGTTTCCTTAAGAAAGGAAAGAGAGGGGATGACACTGCAGTGTACAGAACACCCAGGTAATGCTAGACATGCATCAGCCGTGTCATTACAGGTGCTCCAAAATGATACCCATTTTCTTGGAGAAAACAGAATCCGACTTATTCTTATTTCAGAAAAAGAATGTGCTTTGGCCAAATGGATTTAAGGAAGTGTTTTTATTTTAGAACATTCTTTTTTCATCACTTTGATTTTTAAGGAGAGGGAAATATTACATTTCCAGATTTTATCAAGATTTTTTTTTTCCTTGGGGGAGAGGACAGTGGAATTTATAGTGAAAAGTCCATTAAAGAAAGAACTATTTTGAAGATTTCAGCAGCTTCTTTTAGGTACATACTCAGACCTATCCCTTCACTATAAATGCTCTCAATCTGGGAAGTAGAGTTTTGATACTGAGATTCCCCATTAGTTGAACAGAATCTTGAACATGTAGTTTGGATATAAAAAACTCATAATCAGGTGCATGAGACATTACAGAAATAAAGATGGCATATAAATATTTTCTTCCTCTGCTACTTTGTCCTTGAAGAGCAGGTCCTTGTTCTCCGGTTTCCTTTCAGCTCAGTGACTTTCTGGGTTGCTGCGAACTCCACACAGTCCCTTTGGGTCTCACATGACCCAGTCACTCTGTTTTTAGAGGAACATGCCATAATAGCACAGAACAAATGAATAAATGCCATATGTCACAGCCTGCATAAAAAGACGTCCTAGCTTGGTTCTTTGTTGGTATCTTTAATGATATGCCTCTATTGACAATGGAAATATTTCAACAAAATAAACCAGAGTTTGCAGAGCTATTTCCTGCGGGAAAAAAAAAGTGTCTTTCTTTTCTCTTTCTCACCTCACTGTCCCATCTAAACCTTTAATTTTATATTCTGTTCGGAAGGCTACTGGTAGTAATTTTCCATTCGTCCAAGTAAATGGGAAGAGACTCTTTCAACAATGTCCTTTCTTTATTGCCTGTTTATAAGAAAATTGCTTCTCGAGACGAGGAGAGCTTCAGTTTTGCACCTGAATTTAAATGATGCTTGCAGCCAGGCTGAGGAGGCGCGGGGAGAGCGGCGTGCGGGAGGCTCTGCGGCCCGCACTGCACGGTTAGCCAGGGCCTCGAGGAGCACCCCGAGCTCTGCAACGGCAGCGACGTATTTCGGTGCTTCAGTTTATACACTCTAGTCTGGTCTTGATGTCTAATAAGCAGAAGCAATAGGCTTGGAGGTCCTGACATTCCAACCTTTCTCCATCCCAGCAATGACAAGCACACCAATTACTTGGGAAAGCATCGGTTTCTACTTCACAATGTTTCATATGTAAGGGAAACATCATAGAAGATGTGATTTTAACCGGCATTTTTACCAAAGGTTTTTACCAGCTCTGATTTGGGTTATTTTGTTTTCTTTTCCCTTGCAGGAAGAAGGAATCGTGAAGGAAATAGACATCAGTCATCATGTGAAGGAAGGTTTTGAAAAAGCAGATCCTTCTCAGTTTGAATTGCTGAAAGTGTTAGGACAAGGCTCATATGGAAAGGTAATTCGTTATGCTGTCTAATCACCTAGGGCAATGTTCAAAATATCATGTACTTTTTCTGAGGACATTTACACTGGTACCACTGTCTGTGTTACCAATTACACTGGCAAGGCAGATAAGCAAAACCAGACCACGTGTCTTTCCGTTTTAGAAAGGCTCTTGCCAGCCTGGTCTGAAGTTCTTACACAGTCCACAAACAGCTAAATTTCATTCACTTCAGTATTTGCTTCAGTTCAGTCTCCTGGAATAGCAAGCTGCTGATTTTCAAGTTTCTCCCCTGCAACCTCAATCATTCCTTACAGGACTAGGGAAGATGCCTGTGTTGTCAGAGAGGCTGTGCTGGCCACTTTGGAAAGTCACAGCACTTCCTTAGCATCCTGCTTTGGGATATGCTCAATGTGCCCTTTGCTCCAGCTAAGGGAGTTTCGCTAGTTCAGTTTACACAGGCAGTTGTTAATAATCAGAGGGGTACCTGCATGCATAACAAACTAAAAAAAAAAGCTGAAAATCATGCTTAACCATATGTCTGTGGTGTCCCGGCCAACCCGTATGATTTAGCTAGTGTACGCAGTCGAGTAAGCGCTCTAGGGCCACTTCAGAGTTTCAAGAATGATGTGACTCGTCCTTCAAGAATAATCAGGTCAACCTCATTTTGCAGTATTCTGCATTTTCATTGCTTCTATTTCCATTTTGGTTTGATGACTGTTTGGATGTCCTCTAAAACGGCACACTGTGTTCTTGGCTCATCTGTTTGGGAGGGCTTGCAGACCAAATGCCCTGTCCCATGCACTAGGGATGTTGCAGCTGACATGTGACTAGTAACATAAATTGATCATTTTGCTTATTACAGCCATAAGCTTTGCAAGATTGCAAGGCAGATAAGATGCTTTTTCTCCCCAGAATTTCTAGAATTTCAGCCTAATAATATCTGTATGCTCTGCTGGTCAGTGTGCAATACATCTTAGAAGTCTTATTTTTGTTTGATTTTGTTTCAGTTTTGTTTTGTTTAAGATCCCATCAGCATTTCTACAGGAGTATAAAAAAGCTTAAAAAATGTAGTGTTTGAATAAACTTGCTTCATGACTTTCAGAGTAATACAAAAATTAGATATTTCACTTGCACTGGTTTGGAAAGTAGGCCAACATTTCGGTGTGCAGCTGAATTTCTAAGTGAGTTGACTTCCTGTTAATACAGTAGCAGCTGCGCTCACTTTATCATGAATGTTGATGGGAAACACTTCAGAAAGTCTTATGTATTCGTGTTTCATCTGGATTTCATAATTTGTTTCTACAGTTGTTAGTACCAGAGGTACTTGTATGTTATTCAAACCAGGAAACAGGAGATGGGACCAAGCAATATATATCCAGTCCCAGGCAGACAAGGAAGCTCAGTTAAAGAACCGTGAATCTCTCCTATGCTCAGAAAGCATCCTGAGCATGACTCCTAATTTAAAAGTCTCACCAGGCTGGGTCAGATCACAGTGCAGGTACTGTAGTTATGATGCTGTTTAGATAGCAGAGACTCAGTACAGCTGCTGAGGGAGCCTCTCCGGCAGTGACATAGAAGCTGACTCTCCCCACAGACCTTTCCTCAAAGATGCTTGAGAAATCAGAACTTGTTTATAGATGGTTTTTCAGAAGGAAGAGTATTTCAGTATTTCAACTTGTAAATAATGGGCTGGAAACACAGCACTAATCTTTTTTTTTTTTTATTGGAGGGGGGTGCTTTTTTGTATTTTGGCTGGAGGCAATTTCCTAGAGCTGCATGATTCCTGTAAAAGCAGTGAATAAAATACTTCCTACAGATCTTTGTAATCCAATTAGACATCTATCATTTGAATCAGTTCAGCTAGCTTTTGCTAATCTATATAAATCATAATTTTAAATGTGTGCTTGTGCTTATTTTTGCRTTTGGGTTAACTTACTGCTTCTGCCCAGTAACAAAAGTGCTGAAATAAAAAATGAGAACTGTTAGCTGGCATTTCTCACCTCAGCAGCAGAGTGAGACTGGGAAACCTCTCTCATTAAAAGATAATAATTTTTATATAGAGTGAACTGAACTACTGATTCCTTTACCTCGCCTATGCTCAGATGCACTGATGTCAGTAAGAAAGAGTTGCATGGAGTAAAATAAAGATTGTAATTTTAGCTATAAAAATCTGTTATATCAAATTACAGATTCCCACTGTCAGAAAATGTAACAGTGGGAAAGTATGACAGGTATAATTGTCTTTAGTATAATAAACTGTTAATSAAATACAATCCCACATTAAATATGCTCAAACAGATTTTCCTCTTTTTAATTGTGACTTCCTTTTTTTTGAGAAAAAAACACAAATTTACTTCAGTTTATCAGTTGTGATGAGCTATTTGTTCAAGTGAATCTTAGGCTCACCACAATTCATGTCTTAAAGACACAGATTGCTCCAAACTGTTTTTTTCTCTTCAAATCCATTGATGGCAATACTTTTAAGAAATTAGACATTTCTAAGTACAAATGAGGCATAACTTTTTTTCATGCAAAGTTGTCTGAAAATGAAGAAATGCGCATACAATGTTGATGCCTGTTCACCCACCTCTAGGTAATGGCTGTTAATAATGTTGAGAGTACTTTCTTTGTGAAAAAGTCGTGGTTTAAGGCTGCAACTTTTCACTAGTAGCTCAGCCAATTGTGAGTAAAAGAGAAATTAAATACTTTCAGCTAATAATTTTCATTAGAATTCCTGACTTGAATCTATTATTCCGTCAAATGCAGTAAATGCTCTGAACCAAGAGTTCAGCTCTTATTTATGCTCATTTACTRCTCTTCATAGGTATTCCTAGTGAGGAAGATCAAGGGATCTGATGCAGCTCAGCTTTATGCCATGAAGGTACTTAAGAAAGCAACTCTAAAAGGTAAGAATTGGTGGCCGCAACCTTATTTCTCTGCTATTGCATTTACTTGTCTTTTCTTCCTTTTTTTTTTTTCTTTTTTTTTTAATTGTTGCTGCCTTAGAGGGTAGAAGGAAGCAAAAAGATCAAAAAGATGTTTCTACCACCCTTTAAAATTCCACCGCACTGTAGTGAATGTTCTAAAAAATTTACACAAAACACTGATTTTTACTTTTGCAGGCTATAAAATGTGGGGAATGTGAAAACAGATCATACCTTTGTGTTTGCTATCTTCATGTTTTTTTCACTTATTATGCATTACTTACAGGACTTCTTTGGGGTTCATATTTATCTGCATCTGAGTGTCAGTATCTTTCTACTGCTAAACTGAACTACTTTTAAATAAGAGTATTTCTGAAATAAAAACAGGAGTCCTATTGGACAGAAAGGCCTTTGAGCTGATGCTTCTCACTGTATGCCCCAAAATTTCTGAGACTGCGTTTTCATGTGGCTTTCTAAGGTGGTTGAGATCATGCTCTTCCTAACTCATTACCAATCACTGCATATTCTCCATAGRCAGGGGGCAAATGGCTGAGGTTTGAAGCTGGTCACCCTCTTCTGGGGCCACTGGCTGCTATGTCCTCACTCAGACCACAGAAAACTTCCTACTAAGTGGAGAGACACTCTGGACTGAAAAGCAGACATGATACGTTTGGTCTCAGCTGAAGTCCTTATTGTTCTTCTAGAAGGACAGGGAGAAAGATCTACTCTTCTTTCACCTTTGTTTTCCTAACCTAGCACAGTATCTTGTTTTTGACCCGCCAAAGCCTGAATGTGCTTGCAGAGGACATGGATGGTGTTCATTCGGCTCAGCCCAGCAACTCTTTCTTGGACAATGTGGATGTGCCCAATTCCTAATAGTGTCTAAGTGTCTATCCTAGTGTGAAGAGAGCTAGTCTTCAGAAAGTTCTGGCCACTTAAAATCCAGATTGCGATGTTTGCCTCAATTTGGGGAACCAAAAGAAGAATGAAACTTGTCAAGTAGTGTTCCTGGCAGCTGGTGGTGGGCAGATACAGCACCTATTCTGAGAACTAGGCAAGATGAGGAGATGGCAAACTAGGAATTTACATAGCCCTTTCCAATAGCAGAGCCCTGCAAAGATACGGTAGTTTGAAATGATGCTGGCATGAGGATCCTTTTCTTTACAATATAGGTAGGAAAGTTTGTTCTGGTAGGGCAACAAGGTCTAAATACCAGCTTGAATAGTGCTGGGTTTGCAGTATAAAAAAATAAAAGGTCAAGCCTATGTATACAATATGTACAACACTGTACAATTGTGACTTCTCAGTCAAGAGCAGTAGTGTGAAGTTCCCCACATGAAGCAACCTCAGAGTCTTTCGCCAGCCGTGCCAGGCAGCAGYAGCCAGGCAAGCCACCTGAAGGACGACCACATGATGTGAACATGCATCACAGACTTGTCTTGTTTTGTTTGTGAACCCCAAAGTCTTCACTAAAGACAGAAATTCGGTTTTCTCTCTTTTTCCACCAACTCTGAGGTCCACCGAGCAGCAAGGGCTTTGGGGAGGTTTTCTTGTGCATCCTCAGACACAAACATGTTGCTTTATAAGTGATARCTAGATCTGTAATTTTAGGCCTCCTACAAAAAGTAGTAGTCTGTGTTATGACAATTTTTATACAATTTCAGAACTTAAGTGATGATTTTAGACCACTGGTTTCTGTTCCATCAAAAATAGGCACTTCCAGGTGTCTCTTGTGTTCCTCAGTTCAGTRCACCACAGAACCACCATGGCTCTCCTCATTTGGCCCTAATAATACCTTATTGTGCATTACTTTTTGGGCATGGATAAGAAGTTGAGACTGTTTTACTAGCTTAGCTGGGTTGCATTTCTCTCCTCCTCAATCCTCCTACCCTCTGTCTAGCTGCTAATGTCCCTCTGAYCAGCTGCTAGGTATCTCAAGATACCTAGCACACTGGTGGGAATTGGTTTGGACTTGTCACAGCTGTTTGATGCAGGCAGCACTCTTTGCTATGGTGTTAAATGCAAGTGAGGAAGGAGCACATGCACCCTGCATTGAACATATGAAAAGGGCCAAAGTAGTTTCTACAAAATAGTTAAACTTGACAGCTATTTAACCTGAAGTGCAAAAATGAAGGCAAAACGCCATTGCCCASGGCAAATGAGAAAATTTAATAGCAAAAATGAGAATCATTGTCAGTGAGTTTCCGTGCAACTTTTGGCACGCAGATAATATTTGTGACAGCTTAATTTCATCTTGAAGGGAGAGCACTGAATTATTGCTGCCCACCCACACTCAGGAAAGCTGGAATTCAGTCCTGTGTGAAGGATTTATTACCATGTCAAGTAACAGGAGCAAATCCTTAAGGAGTTCTTAATACTCAGCATTCACTGACAAAATTGTTCACTGGCTATTTACTGACAAAAGACATGCTACCAGAAAAAAAAGAATCGGAATGATTTTTGCTTCCCAACCTGTACTGCACGGTACAGCATGGAGTGTGAAAGTCCAGGTGTTCTGGGTGCCAGTGCAGTGACAGAGCCTTCCAATGGGTCTTCTTCATAGCAAAGGTATTTTCAAAATGAGAAAAAAAAAGAAGTGTGGGGGGGAAGATTGCAAAGTCTTTTTTTCTTTTCTGGTTTAGCCTGCACTATGGGTAAAGAGGAGTGTCAAGAAGTTAAATGCCTTTGGGAGTGAGTGGTTAAAACATATTTTATACTGTGGTCTGGGGAATKAATATAGAGGGTCATAGCACAGAGGTATGTATCGCACAAGCCTGACTGGCAGTGGTCAGTTTTGAATGATTAGGGGGAAACCTAAGTTCAAGCTGGTGTCTCCAGTAAGTCCTGCTGTTTCTTGCCTTCTTTCAGGTAGACAGCCAAATTCACCAACAGCAAAGGATAGAAGAAAGATTGCTGCAACCAGCAGCAGCATTTTCTGACAGTTTGAACTCAGATAAATTGTTTTGGATGAAATGGGCTTCATAGATCAATTGCATTCACGGCTTTAAGCTTGAAAAATATCTGCTGAACACTCTTGCTGTGAAGGGAGAATTAGACTCCAAACTATTTCCTTTYAGATTGCAGAAGTTTGAAGGATTGCAGTTTGCATGTGGCAAACACAAATACTTGTGAAAATTAAATTAATCTTTACCTTATGATAGTTTATAATAAATGTTGAGCATATCTGAATGTAGTCGCCCGTAGCAGCATGTATCTCTGAAGGTGGAAGCACTGCTGCTGTTCTGGGTTGTAAATGAGAACATCACACAAAGRCTCATTTCCTTCATGCCTCATTTCCTTTCAGAAGAGCTTGCAGGTATCCATCTAATTTTTAAAGCAGAAAGCTTCCTGGAGAAACTAGATAGGAGTTACAAATCTCATTTCAAATATTAATCTACGGAAAACTTTGTCCAAAATGTTTAAGAATATTATGTCTGTTAGGTGCCAGGGGGAGGGTATCCCAGATTTAAGGCTATACGTATGTATGTATGTATGTATGTATGTATCATTCAAACTCTTTTGACTTTGAAACACTATTTGTTGAAATACAATACACTAAACATCTACATTACCAAACTTAAACTCCTGTACATTGGTCCAAATGCTCAAGGACATTTAGACACATAAATACCTTCAAAGAATGAGACGTTTGTGCTTTTAAATGTCATTAGACACTACTAAATGTCATCTAAAAGGATTTCTTTCATGTCTTCATAGTGCTCTAAAAACTTTAATTTTCACACAGAATGGCTGAGGTTGGAAGGGCCCTCTAGAGATCCTCTAGTCCAACCCCCTGCTCCAGCAGGGACACCCAGAGCACGGGGCACAGGGTGGTAAAAAYAGATTTTTAGATAGAGATTGAAAGAGAATAAAGTTTATCTTCATTTTTAAAAATTTAGAGGCACATGTCAGTAAGTCTTGACTCAGGCCTGAATGCAGTGAGACTGAAGATTYAGATAAAATATTGACTTTTTTTTCTGAGTATGTGGATTGTACCAGCAGACTGGGGCACAGGGGAAGGACAGGCTTATTATTTTGCTTCACTCAGTATTTCTGTCAAGRTATCTCAAGCTCTATCAGCTTTACTGGAGGTACTTCAGGAATTGATGAACAAGAACTCCTTGGATTGCTTACAGTACAAGCTTTATTAAACACACATGAAGTGTTCATAAATCCATAAGAGGAGGATGCATTGGCATACAAGGGATGCCCTTGGAGCTTGGAAATGGAAGACCCATCCATCCAGGAGACATGCAATCTTGCTAAAAGTGGCAGGAAGCCATAGTTCATTGATGTGAGACTCATGAAATGTATAAATATTGCAGTGTTGAGTTATGATCTTATAATAAATGTGCAATAGGTCACAAGGAAATAGTTTGCATTTACCCATCTTTTTGGTCATGGGCTATTAAATGTCAGCCTAGGAGGCTACCTGATGCTGATAATGGGGAGATTCTGCCTGTTTCTGTGCGGGGGGAGGATTTAGAAACAATAACCTGTTTTGTCAAAAGCTCTGAAGTGCTTTGCAGTTTGTCATCTCCCTCCGTCTCAGCCAGTTGGCTTTTTCGGGTTTTTGGCTTAAAAGTTGACTGCTTTTAGTTGTGCTGCGTGATGTTTATGGATGCAATAAGCTGTGCGAGGAGCTTTACTAACTCACAGAGACTTCATGGTGTTCTCAGGAACGTTACAGCATCGGTAATAATTATGCAGTAAATCGAATAACTTAAGTGAGGTGTCAGCACCTGAACTGTATAATTTTTATCCCAACCATTATAAAATTGTAATAGTGGCTGTCCTTCACATCAACTAAAGCAGCTCCTTCACATTTCTTCCCTGTGTAAGACTCAGTTGCCTTGCAATGATTGTGCTGCTTAGATCCAAGACTGGTGTTTTCCCAGTGGTTTGAGARAACAAAAATCCCACAAAACAAAAGTCTAAGGGTAATTTAACCTTATAAGGCAGAACTTTCAAAGAGCTTTCAC